CAGATCACCAGGCCTGTCTTCTGAGGCACCTCTGGGTGGGTTCCAACCGCCAACCTTTTGGCTAGTAGTAGAGAGCTTAACTGTTCGCGACACTCAGGGAAGGGCAGCCTTAGAGGGAGGTATTACGATGACGCTGCATAAATGTGGATGCTGAGGTTCAGAGAGGGGCTGTGACTTGTCCAAAGTCACACAGCAAGGAACTGGCAGAGGTTGAGTGTAAATCCAAGTCTTTCTGACTCAAGAGTCTGGGATTTAGAACAAACATTTGCAACATGGGGTTGACAGATCTGTCCCCCAGGCTGTTGAAAAGACCAGATGGGGTAATAGGTGTGAGGTGCCTGGCACAGTGCCTAACACACAGTGCTCAAGAAGTGGGAGTGGAAGGGGACCCCTGTCCACCTCCACCTAACTAATTGTATAGGGAAGAGGGACAGAGACCGGGGAGGGCTCGCGACTTGCCCAAGGTCACCTAGCAAACAGTAGACAGAGCCCAAGCTCCCTTCCCCCAGGATCACACTCTCTCCTCGCCCACCCCTCCCGGCTAATGGCAAGGGCCAATATCCCTCCAGGGTTGTTTCATCCCCAGAGAGTGGAAACTTCCAAAGTCCCTGTGACCTGACCTCAGGAAACCAGACAGGAGGCAGAACAACAGCAGGGGTGGCCACCCAGTCCACAAATCTCCAGCCCGCGGCTAAAATCTGGAATCCCAGGGTTTACCACGCTTGCTCCTCCCCACCCTTTCTGCATTCCGCCACCCCTGGGGACATCTATTCCACGTTCTACTTCATGCTCCCCTCCCAGTTAATAACCAGTGAGTGAGGGGACATCTGGGGCGCTGGTGTTCTTATAGGAGACTGAACGTTGGCAAAGGCCGAGGGAATGAAGCACTAACGGTGGGATTTCAGGCACTGTAGTGAGTTGGTGAGGCAAACCACAGCACTCGGGATGGCCAGAGATGAAAGGAATCACAGAGTCACCTGCCCGCATGGTTTTCAAACTTTTTAAAAGCTGCAGATGTTTCTCTTCATACAATATCTACAGCACATGCCACCCCACCCCCACGCCTCCCTATGGTCACTAGTAGGTTCCAGGGGAGGACCCACTGAACAGGGAGACCTGAGAAAGAGAAATGCAGTCCCTCACACCCAGGAGCTGGCCAGGCACACCCAGCCAGACCTTCATGTACACACACAATTGAACATAAACCATTTCACAGAACACCAGCAGCAGCAGACAAGGCCACTCTGACCCTGATGAGCCAAGACAAAAACAAGATCACTAGAGTCCCTGGGTAGTGCAAACGGTTAAGCACTCAGCTACTGACCAAAAGGCTGGAGATTCGAGTCCACTCAGGCACAGCTCGGAAGAAAGCCCCGGCGATCTACTTCTGAAAGGTCACAGCTATTAAAACTCTATGGAGCACAGTTCTACTCTGAAACACATAGGGTTGCCAGGAGTTGGAATTGACTTGAAGGCAACTGATCTGGCTTCTTTTGGTTACATAATCATGACTGAATCAGAACTTTGAACAGGCTGCTGAGAATTTGCATTTCTAACAAGTTCCCAGGAAGTTATACATAAGAATTACCCAGGGATCTTGTTAAAACGTAGATTCTGATTCAGTATATCTGGGGCGAAACGAATCGGTTCAAAGCCCTGGCCTGAATACAGACAAAACATGAGCCACAAGAATACCAAACATCTCCCTCTCCTGGCTGATCAGAGTAACCACTGCTTCTTTGCCAATTACAGTAAAGCCTGAGAAAGCAGGAACCTGTGTAAGGTGGAAACCTGTCAGAGAAGGAAAACTCAAATACTTTCCACGAAAACAAGCAATAGAAAAGTGGTAAGACTGCACCCTGTCAAAGGCGGAAAACTTGCGAGACCTGGGAAAACAAGGCAGTCCGGTCGAGCTCTGGCTCTCACAGGTTTCACTGTACAGCTTTACCTTGGTCTGCTCTTCCCTCCTTGTAGATAAAATTTATTAAGATACTCAGTCACAGAATTACCCCACTTCCTGACAGCATCCAATCCAGAGCAAAGCCCTGCTTCCCTAAAAAAAAAAAAAAAAATAGTTGCTGTCAAGTCGACTCCAACTCATGCCAATCCATGTGTGTCAGAGTAGAACTGAGCTTCGTAGGGTTTTCAGTGGCTGATTTTTCAGAATATATCACCAGACCTTTCTTCTGAGGCAGCTCTAGATGAACTTGAACCACCAATCTTTCGGTTAGCAGTCAAGTGCATTAACTGTTTGCACCACCCAGGGACTCTGCTTCCTTAATATCCTCCCCCAAACCACCTGCCACAAGCCCAGATCCTATTAAGAAGTCCTTTCTAACCCGCATGCAGACACACCCCGTGGTTCCCCATGTTGCTTGCTCTCCCTCGCTGCAACGAGTTCAACATGTTCAACTCCAGGTGGGCTCCTGGTGGTCTGTGGCAGGGGGGCAATGGCAACCTGATTTCATCAAGAACCCCCACCCCTTCACCCCTGCAAGAGTCAAAGGTGGGCGTACGTCTCTCTTTTGCACGTGAGGAAACCCAGGGCTGCAGAGGTAACTGAGCTTACCCAGGTTTCTACAGTAGGGTGAACATATAATTTATTTTCCAAACGGGATGCCTTTGAGAGTGAAAAAGTGCACTATAAATAACTCAGCTGAGACATTGGGCATAACCTGGGGCTGTCCTGAGCAGGTCAGGTGTAGGGTCTCCTTCTCAAGCAGCAAGATGGTGGGAGCCGCAGGACAGAGCCAAAGCCAAGCCTCGCCATCTCTCTCCACTGCCCTGCGCCCCCTGCAGGGCCCCCTGAAACACTGCATCTCTCCCTGCAGGTCTTGGCAGCCAGGGCCTTCATCTAACCTTGTTTCTGTGTCATTCCAGGGAGTGCCCTGCAGTTGTGATTCAGGGGTGTGGAGGCCACTCCTGAGATTCAACACCACACAGCTGCCCCACACAGTCACGACACTGTGCTGGGTGTTAAATTTCCAGAGTGCACCCCAGTGCCAGTCGGTGTGATGCCTCTTTTATCCTCCGCAGAAAGGGAATGAGTGTTTTTACAAACAATTTGCCAGGTGAATGAAGGTGACTCCTTTAAATGTTGACAACTTTTTTATTTTAGCTGTCCGTGCTGGCGCTGTTTCTGATGCGATTTGTACGCTTCTCTGCCTTAGTACACACAGCGCATGGATACACTACACCACACCTATGACTTGGGGCCGTGAGCAGGAACATTTGTCACCGGGGCACAACAGCAGACGTGCCCCAGTGGCAGCCTTCACTGAAGAGGTTTTGATGCTAGAGGTAGAAATGGTCCAGAAAAAGAGGGAGTGTGTTCCAGGGAGTGTGCACTTCTGACTGAGCACAGAGGGGCATCCCCTTTCCTGGGCCAGGACCTCCACCACCACCCCCAACCAGAGGCGCAGACCAGGTGAGGGTCTCCCAATCCCAGGTGACCCAGGTGCAAGCTCTGAGTGTGTGGACCTGGTTTGAGGTAGTGTCACAGCCCCTTTCTCCACAGCAGCCACCGTCCCTGTGCCGGGCACAGAGGAGCCTTGCAGAGATCGGTGTGATAAAAGTACTAATCTGTGATGCTACAATACAGTGGCATCTGCAGGGGCTGCTCAGCCAGCTGAGCTATCTGCCTCTACACTCCATGGCCCCAGATGTCTGCAGCTGTTAGTCTGCTGCCTCTGGTGTATCCATTTGTAAATTCCCTTCTCCCACCTTGGCCTCTCTCTGCACTCTGTCCCTAATGTACAAGAACCCAAGTTCACCAGAATGTGAGCCCTGTCACGGAAACAACAATCTCAGCTCATCTCTTTCCCCCTAGAGAGCCCATGTTAGGGTATGGTACATAGTAGGTGCTCAGCAAATGAATCAAATTGAGTTAAGCCAGGAAGCTTCATTTTACCCACAGTCCTAAACCAATGGGGATATATTGTGTAGGGGCAGGAGGGTTCACTCTGGGGGCTTTTGGCCTGGCTTTGTGACCACTGTACAGGTCACTTGGAGGTTTTAATGCCAGAGGATAGAGGGTCTGTGAGTCTGAGAGCTGGGAAAGCAGGGGAGAGGACACTGTCTGGGAGAGTCTCCAGGGTCCCAGTCAGTTCCGCACACCCTCAGTGACCACCTATGCTGGCCAGGCCCAGGGCTGGACATGGGAGATGCAAGGTGAGTAAACAAAGATGCTCCCCTGAGTGGGAGGCAGACAGTCATGCTCAGTGATCCATGTGCAAGTCCAGAGGAGGCATGGAAGAGAGAGGGCTAACTCGTCCAGGAGGCCGTGATGCCAGGAAAGCTTTCAAAGGAGGGACACCTCAGAGGGGTTTGAAGGACGAGTAAGAATTTTCCAGGCAGGTAAGAGAGGAACAGGCATGCTGGTGGACAGCTTGGGCAAAGGCTGCAACAGCAGGGTGAGCGTGTGGGGGTGGTCGGGGGAGGGACAGAGGCTTGGAAATGGGGAGCAGAGCATGTGAAGTGGAGGGACCAGGGACAAAATTAAGGCGATCAGCAGTACTCAGCCTTGGGGAAGGCGCAATGGGAGCCACAGGGGTGAGGTGGGCAGGGGTGAACATGGATAGCTCTGACTGAAGACAGATCACGGCATCTGCCAAGTGTAATAAAAGATTCAGCAAGGATTGGGAACCCTGAGATGCATTTTGGGGACCCCGGGTAGCACCAAGGAGGGTCCCTATCAGAGTTTAGCTTTGGGGGGAGGTGGCAAACGCCCTTGAGGGGCCTGGCTGCTGCAAATCTTCCCAATGAATCATATTTTACCTTCAAAGCTTTGCCAAAGGAAACTCCCAATTGGAGCAACCATGGTTGACTGACAATAATCACCCTTTCCTGTGGCATTTCTTTACTGTTCTTGAGTTCTCAGGTCCACCCTCTCATCTGAATCTCCGTATAACCCCATTTTGCAGATAGGAAAACTGAAGTCCTGTGGGGTCGCATGGGAGTTAGCAGTCATGCCAGGCTAAAACCCAGGGAGCAGGTTAATTTTAGCTCTGGGTGTCGGGCTCAAAGCCCAGTTCCTTGTCTGGGAAGGGGTCCTCAGGCCCATCTGGCAGCCCATAGTACAGGTCGTCATCTTCCTCCTGAGGTTCCTCCACGCCTGTGTCCGATGGCTCCTCCTCCTTCGTCCTAGGATACCACTGCCGGTAGCTGGGCAGGACCGTCTCCTGCTGTGGCCCCTCTGGTGGCGCATCCCCTGACGTGGGGGCGTCAATCAGGGCAAAGTCTTGGAAGTGGTCCAGCTGGCACTTGGAGGTCCAGGGATCAGGCGGCAGCGGGCGAGGCTCCTCCCCATTGGGCGGAGATGGGTTGGGGCTGCTGCCCTGGCTGGAGCCCACATCCAGGTCTTGTTGGAAGGAGGCCAAGGGTGCAGGGCCCTGGGGACAGGCTGGGGGGCTGTAGAGGCAAAGGCCACGAGGGTGGGGGTAGCTCTGAGTCAGACTGCCTGAGTCCAAATCCCAGCCACTAGCTTCGAGGCCTGGAGTGGGATAGTTAACCTTTCTGGGCCTCAGTTTCCTCCCCTGTAAAGTGGGGAAAGTAACAGTATTCACTCCTAGGGTTGTTCCTGAGGTTTCAAGCAGCACTTCGCACAGTGCTTGGCACGTACCAAAACCCATTGCTGTCGAGTTGGTTCCAACTCATAGCCACCCTATAGGGCAGAGCAGAACTCCCCTATAGGGTTTCCAAGGCTGTAATCTTTATGGGAGCAGACTGCCACATCTTTCTCCTGCTGAGCGGCTGGTGGGTTTGAACTGCCGACCTTTTGGTTAGCAGTTGAGCTCTTAACCACTGCTCCACCAGGGCTCTGACCTGGCACATAGTAGGTGCTCAAGACGTAGAAGCTCTTACTATGTTATTATGCAAACCAGGTCACTTGCCCATTCCTCCAGTCATTCAGGGTCTCCTGTGGGCTCTCACAGCCCCATCACCCCAGGGCGTCCCCATCTGTTTCCCTGTCTGTCTCCCGCATTGGACTGGGAGCTCCTGAGGAGTGGGAGCCAGTCAAGGCCTGGCACGGAGTAGGTGCCCAGCAATGTTGACGGAATGAATAAATAAACCGATGAATGAGAAATTCAGTTCATAAATCGATGGGGGCAGGGTGGGGGTGGAGAGTGACTTGCAGGAGGTTACAGAGCAAGTCAGTGGCAGAGCCAGGATTTGAACTCAGGTTCTCTGGTTCCTCACCCCCCTGCTATGCCAAGTGAACTGTCAGAGAGATCAAGTGCCCACTGTGTGCCAGGAGTTTAAATACATTGTGTTAATCCTCAAAGCAACTCTATGTTATAAGAATAACTATTCCCAGTTGGGGAAACTGAGGCTCAAGGAGGATAAGAAACTTGCCAAGGTTACACAGCAGAGAGTCTATCTGACTCTCAAGCCCATGTTCATTTGCTCTGATACACCCACTGCTTATTGGAGTGTCCCCCACTCTCCACTGCCCTCTGCTTACGCCCAAGTGTCCCCAGCCACCCCTTTGCGGCCTCGCGTCCCTTTCCTCCTCATGCTGGACTGGACAGCGTCCCCATTCCTGCCCTCCAAGTGCTCACCTGGACCTGCTCTGAGCCGGGATTCTCTCTCCCTCGTCCTCGTCTGAGCCCCGGTGGACAACCACAGCAGCCTCCACCCAGGCCTGAGAGTCTACAGGGCCTCCTGCTCCTCCATCAGTGGCTCCTGGCTGTGGCTGCCCCAGCTCAGGGGCCAGCAGGGGGCGAGGGTCCTCACTGTAATGCATGACCTTCATCTGGATGTGGGTGAAGTCGGACAGGCTCTGGTCATAGGCAGCATCCTCCCACAGCCTGACATACGGAGGCTGGGGGCTGGAGGGCACAGGAAACAGACGGGAGAGAGAACAGGCAGGAGTCAAAGATTCGATCCACAAACATCCCACGTTCTGCCTGCCCTGCTTGCTCCAGGCATCTGGTCTCCTCTCATCTCCTAAGAAGCCTCTGGGGCAAATTACTGTCCCCATTTCACAGATGAGGAGGCCAAGGCTCAGCAAGGCGAGTAAATGAAGTGGCAATGCTTGGGCGTGACCCCATTTGATGTCTGCAAAGTTAACCGTGAGGGTGCAAGAGTGACTTTAATACCAGTTAACATTTACTGAGAGTTTACTATGTTCAGATGGGCTAAAGGCTTTATGCTTAGCATCCCACTGATTCTAAACACCACCTGGATGAAGAGATTTTCACTCTCCTTTTACAGATGAGGACAGAATAGCAATAACAGCCCGCAGTTCTTGAGTGCCCCTTGCATGCCAGGCTCTGTTGGTTAACTCGTCTTATCCTCACCATAACTCTGGGACGTAGTGAAGAAACTGAGGCACAGAGACTTTAACCGACTTGCCCAGAGTGACATGACCACGCAGTAATGGCACTGGGGCTCCAGCATCAAGCTTTTTACTGCTGTGTCCCTCGGAAAGTGAGGTTCAGAGACCAGGTTCCTTGTCAAAGCAGCACAGCTGGAAAGCAGCAGGAAGGTGACCAGAAGTCAGAGCGGCCTGAGTCCCAGCTCTCTCACCACAAACACCCTGCATAACCCAGCACTGGGGCAGAGCATGGGCTGGCTCCCACCACCACCAGGGGTCTATCCACCTCATTCCCACCGGGACATTTGGTAACCCTGTGCACCAAGAGCAGACAATGCCACCACCACCCCCTTCCTCAAGCAAAGTAGAGAGTCCCTGAACCAGCAAACAGGCCTCCTGAGCACCGAGTCATGGCTGGGGGTCGGGGGACCAGCTCATCCCACCAGGGTCAGCTGGTCCCACTGCCACTCCAGGGCTGGAGCGCTCTTGGCCATACCAGGACAAACGTGGGCTTAACACCTCAGGGAGGGAGACAGATCTGGAACCAGGTCAGGCCTGAGTTCAAGCCCCACCTCCATCACTGACTCCCCATGATGTTTGGGGCCTGTGACCGAACCTCTCTGAGCCTCAGTTTCCACATATGTATAAAGGCCTAACACTCCCTCCTCCCCCACATGAAAGGCTTTCTACGTGGACTGAGGGAAGTAAGAGATGCAAAGTTCCTGATCTAATCTCTGGTGCACATTTATACTACACACCTGGGTCTGTTCTTAGCATTTTGCATGCGTTATCTCATGTAACCCTCCTGAGACCAAACTCATCATTGTTGAGTCGATTCCCACTCTTGGCAGCCCTGTGTGTTACAGAGTAGAACTGTTCCATAGGATTTTCTTGGCTGTAATCTTTATAGAAGCAGATTGCCAGGCCTTTCCTCCACAGCACCACTGAGTGTGTTTGAACTGCCAACCTTTAAGTTAGTAGTTGAGAACAAACTGTTCACACCACCGAGGGACCTTAGTATCCCCATTTTACAGATGGAGCCCACAAAAGTAAGTCTTTGCCCAAAGTCACACAGCTTATAAGTGGCAGAGCCCCCGGGCCTGTCCCTTGGCCATCACGTTACATGGCCTCTTCTTTGTTAGTAGTAAGGGCAGTCATACATGGGTGGGATTTCGGGTTAAACCTGTTTTTGACATCGTCTGCCTCTACCATGTTTTTACACAACTAACAGGCACCTTCTACGTTTGTTTGCCAACTGCACCCTCCGCGTAGTGTCCCTTACGAAAATACCTCATGGGGGAGGGTGCAGTTGGCAAACAAACATAGAAGTTGCATGTTATTTGTGTAAAATACGGTAATTCACAGTAAGACTCTATCTTGTCCCTGACAAAGCAAAGTCCGTGAGCCTCAGTTTCCTCATCTGTAAGATGGGAATCATAATGTTTACCTCACAGAACTGACCGTTCAAAGCAATACATGGTTTCTAATAATTTATTCTCAGGAGGGGGCACAAGGGAGGAGCCCCCACCCATCCCCGTGGCCCCTTCTCTTCACTCTCCCTTGTGCGGGACCCCTGGTGCAGGCCCAGAACCTACCTCTTCATCTCGGTGCTGAGCTTGTTCTCCAGCAGCCCCAGTGCCTTCGGGGAGAGGATGCCTTGGAATTCGGAGTCAGCGGGCACAAAGGCAATCTAAAGGTCAAAGAGAAGATGGCTTCTCTGTAGATGACTGCGCGGGGGCCAGGAGCCTCATTCATCCTTGGCTGCTGCTCCCCCAAGTGCCTCACCTGAGCCTCCCCACACCCCAGAAGAGAGGTGGACCAGGGAGGGTCTCCCCATTCAGCAGGTGAGGGGCCTGCCCAGGCCCAGCACCAGTGGGTGGACTGGATCTCTGGGCTCCTGCCTCCCACCCTGGCTCTCCTTCATCCATTCAATGAATGTTTATTGAGCACCTGTTTTGTGCCAGACACTCTTCTAGGCTTGAGGGGGCAGCAGTGAATGAAAGATATAAACATTTCTGCCCTTGAGGGGCTCACATCTTGCCATTTTCAGGGTCTTTATCCAGTGCCTGTACATACCTGGCCCAGAGCAGGCACTTTGTCCATGGGTGGTGAATGAGTGGAAAGCAAGTTATTGTCCTGTGTTTCCGTGGTGGGGGACAGAGAAGTGGATGGCTGGGGTTGCACCCACCAGTCGTTCTCTCCGATCTTTCTGAAATCAAGAGGCCTCTGCAAGCCCAGGAGTCCCTGGATGGTACAAGCAGTTAACACGCTTGGCTGCTAACTAAAAGGTTGGATGTTTGAGTCCACCCAGAGGCACTTGTGAAAGAAAGACCTGGCAATCTACTTCCAAAAAAATCAGCCACTGAAAACCCTATGGAACTTTAAACCAAAAATATCCTCTGAAGTCTTCTTAAAACCAAACAATAGTTTAGCTTAACTAGTAAACAATGTCTGCCGTAAGCATTGTGCTCTTTTAAGATCTATCTATATCAAATTGACAAAAGCAACTTGAAAGATTAGATAGGAAATAAGGGGGCAGTTAGTTTATGTTAATGGGGGAGGAACAACTCAGAAAAAGAAGGTGAGAATGGTTGCACAGCTAGAAGAATGTAATCAATGTCATGGAATTGTACACGTAGAAATTGTTGAATTAGTGTATGTTCTGCTGTGTGTATTCTCAACAACAACAAGAAAACCCTACGGAGCAGTTCTACTCCGACACACATGGGGTCACCAGGAGTGGAGCCGACTCAGTGGCAACTGGTTTGGTTCTGCAAGCCCAGGACCATGGGGTGGACATCCGGTGGTGAATGAGAGGGCGGGTCACAAAGGAGGCAGTGGGATGAGGCAGAAGGAGTCTTGCCTTTGGGAACTAGAAGGTTGGATGAGAATCCTTCCTCTGCCAGGTACTGACTATGGGGCCCTCAGGCAGGTCATCTGTCCTCCCAGAGCCTCTCTGTGCTCCTCTAGAAAACGGGGACAGCAGTGCCTGTTTCCTAGGATTGCTGTGAGGATTCAGCGAGATACTATGTAAAGAATCCCTACCCAGTGCCTGGCACATATAGCTGTCCAGTACATCATAACTTGATGCTACTGAAGAGGATGTCACCTGACTTCTCTGAGTCTTGTTCTCCTCCACTGAAGATTTGTTCAACAAATATTTGACGGGATTCTACTCTATGCCGGGTTCATGTATTGCTGCCATTGAATTGGCCCCAACTCATGACGACCCCATGAACAATGGAATAAAATGCTGCCCTGTCCTGCGCCATCCCCATGATCGGTCGGGGATTGGACCATTGTGATCCACAGGGTTTTCACTGTTGAGTTTTTCAGAAATAGATTAGCAGTCCTTTCTTCCTAGTCTGTCTTAGTCTGGAAGCTCTACTGAAACCTATTCAGCATCATAGCAACACACAAGTCTTCACTGACTAATGGGTGGTGGCTGCAAATGAGGTGCATTGTCCGGGAATCGAACCTGGGTCTCCTGCATGGAAGGCAAGAATTCTAACACTGATCTAGCAGCCCCTTTTTTCTCTGCCTGTAGAATGCAGCGAGTGGAAGACGCTTGTCCGCACTGGAAAAGCTGCCGTCCTGCTGGGGAGAAGGGCATGACGGATGGGGGTGCTCTTAGAACTTCTGGGAGGAGTGAGCTTCCTCCAGATGTCTGGAAATAAGGTAGGTGCCCGGCAGAGGACGATAGATGTTCTGAAGGAGCCACGAAATCCGGGGCACTAGTCTGGGCTGGCTGTATCGTCAACACTATATACCCGTGACGTCAAGTCAGCTCGTCTGCTGTCTGAACCTCAGTTTTCCTACCTGCCAATCTCTCAGAGGTCAAATGAGACTGAAGAAGCTTTGTAAACCCTAAAGTGTAAAATCATCACACAAACATTTATTCAGTACTTGCTATATGCTCAGTGTTGGCCAAGTGAGACACATTCCCTGTTCCCAAGATCAAGGCAGACAGGAAAGCAATGGCATTGTACAGTGGGCTCTCTTGGCATCCTTTGGCACTGCACACTCTCTCTTGAGTCCCTGTTACTTGTTATGTATTTGGGGAGTTGCTTTCACCTCCACTAAGGATGCCCTGCATTTGCCAGTTGGTTCTGTATGTCCTAGAAGATACTCCTTTCTCTGTCTCTTACCTCATGACCCAATCACCGCCACCACCATCATCACCATCACCATTATCACCACCATCACCACCACCACCATCACCACCACCATTATCATCAACATCACCATCATCATCATCACCATCATCATCATTACCATTATCATCAACATCATCATCATCATCACTATTATCACCACCATCACCACCACCATCATCACCATCACCGTCATCATCACTATCATCATCATCATTGTCATTATCAAAAGTAAGTGGGATAGGCTAGAGCATCTTAGAACACAAGGGCTTTGATCGGGGAGGGTGGTGACGGGGTGGACAGGCAGAACTAAAGCTTCAGAGGGGACATCAGACCATGAAGACTCCCAGATCATCAGATGAAGGAACTCAGTCTTTATCCAGAAGCAATGAGGAGCCCTGGAGGAGTTTTCAGCAGGAAAGTACACAGTCAGATTTGTGTTTAGGAAGAGCCTTGGGTGGTCCGTAGGGCAGAGTGAGGCCCATGGGGAGGACAGACCCATCAACCACCAATCAGAGGCCCAGTCCTTCAGCAGAGCAGGCAGGTGGAGGAATGGAAGACCTGCAGGTGGAGGCAGAAGCCAGACAGGGAGAGGCCCTAGCCAGGGAGAGGGCTGCTCTCTCTACCTATCCTTCTCCTGTTCTCACCTCCCTTCCCCCATCTCAGCTCAGGGAGTCAGCATCCCTTCCTGCCCCACCTACTAGATTTGTCCTGATTCATTCTCCTCTCTCATGCCCAAGGCCCAGCTGAACACCGGATCTTACCAGGTCTACTGCAGACATCAAATGGAAGTGCTAATGCCACACCTGCCCTAGCATGTGCTCCAAGTTTGAAGAACTGGAAATGTCTTCTCAGCTCCTACAGCCTTGGGTTCAAGTTCTTCCCTGGTCCAGGTCACCATCGTCTCTCACCTGGACCAGAGAAGAAGCTGCCCCACTGGTCTGGCTGCCCCTGAACCTTCCTCTTCCCAGCCATCACCATGATAACTTTCTTAAACTGCAAAGTTGTTCATGCCCCTCTCTTGTCCCATCAACTAAAGGGTAAGGTCCAAATTCCTGAGCACAGCATTCTAGGCCCCATGGAGTCCAGCCCACTCCCTCTCCACCGTTACCTCCCTGCCCTCACCCTCCAGTCACCATGCTGACGCACCTGCCTTGCTCTTTTACCCACGTGTCTTGGATCACACCCTTCCTTCCGTCTGGAATATCTTTCCCATTTTCTCTGCCTGTGAACTTCCACTTGACTTACAAAGCCTAGCTCACCGTCTCTGTGAAGACTGCTCTCTCCCCGTCAGGCAGAAAACTGTCTCCCCGACTAAACGCCAAGTCTACCACTTTTGAGTCTACCCTCAAAGACACCAGTACCTGTTGCCGTCCAGTCAACTTCATGTGTACCAGAGCAAAACTTTGTTCCATAAGGTTTCCAACAGATGATTTTTCAGAAGTAGATTGTCAAGTCTTTCTTCCACAGTGCCTCTGGGTGGATGTGAACCTCCAACCTTTCCATTAGCGGCCAAGCATGTTAACTGTTTGCACCACACAGGGACTCCTCCTCAAAGACAGGGACCACTTACTTCTTGCTGCTGTCTGAAGCCCCTCACCCATCCTAACTGGCTAGTTTTATTCCCTTATATTTGCATTTCTTTCAATCCAGAAAATTCCCATTTACTGACACCTCCCAGAGGTCTGGCACTGAGAACCCGGGGAGGAGGATGAGGGTAGGACAGACAGGAGCATTTGTTGCAGGTTACACCAAGGAGATAATGCAGGAGATAGGGGGCCTCACACTCCAGACTGCCTCCCTGGTTGGCAAGGCACTTTCCCCTCTTCCCTTATTGGATTCAACATGCACCGGACCCAGCCGTCTGCATCCCTGAAGCACACACACACATACACACACCTGAACACACATACAGAGCCGCACCTGGTGCCACAAATGCCAACCCAAGAATGATGCCAGGGATGCCAGAACCCCACATCCATGACCTCCCACTCAGCTGTGCAAGGCATGAGCCTCCTCAGACTCCGGAAGAACAAACAGAGGCTCAGTGGGGAACTCACTCTGCCAAGGTCACAGAATGGGGCAGGAGCGAGCAGGGACTTGAATCTGGGCCACTAGACGCTAAAACACGCGCCGTTTCCACACTGCCACACAGCGCATGAACTTGCTTCTCTATCAACAGTTACTGATTAAGTGCCCGGCAACGTTCCCTCTCCCCTCTCTTTCTCTCCCTCACCCCCCACTGCCACTCCTGTCACTCTGCCCACTACCGTAGAGCCACTGCAGGTAAAGGGGAGCGGGCAGGAAGGACGCTCCTCTGCACACCCTGACCCCCTTGCCAACCCCAGGGTCCAGCCTCCTCACAGAAGGAGGATGATGATGGTGGTGGTGACATGGGTGGCACCACCCGAGGACCTCTTCTCCCTGTGACCTCTGCTCAGGGCCCAGCACAGACAGAGGCGAGTTGACTGTAAACTACTCGGTAAATGACCACAAACCAGCCCAGACCGCTCCAGCGCCAGCCACACACACTGACAGCCAGGGTTGGCCCACGGCGGGGGGCAGGGCTGGGGAGGCTGGGACAGGCCCAGGCCCCTGAAGCCCCTCCCCTTCCTGAACTCCCAAGCATAGCCACTCAAGTAGGAGGTGAAGAGGGGGCTGTGGGTGGTGGGGGCTGCCTGGGCCCTGGAGCCCTAGATATCAGGACAGTAGGGCCTTTAAATACACCCCTTTCCCATTCCTGCTTCCTGACTCACACATTGCACAGATGGAGAAACTGAGGCCCAGAGAAGGAAGAGGCCTTGATCAAAGTCTCCAGGCAAACAGCCCAGGCTAGAACCCATGTTTCTCTTCTCGCCCCCCGGATCTATCTCTGACCAGCTGCGTGACCTTGGAGAAGTCACTCAACCTCTCTGGGGCTCTCCAGCCTCAGTATGACAACTCCTGATATGCCCATTCCACAGGATTGCTGAAAGGGTCAATAACAATAACAATGGCAGCCCTTCACCTACATATAACACTTTACAGTTTACAGAACTCATCTACATCTCATCTCTTCTCTGATCTGTATAACCACACTGTAAGTCTCGGAGAGATAAGGGATTGGGGTCCCATTTTGCAGATGAAAAAACTGAGATTAAGAAAGACAAAAGTCACACAGAGAATTTGGGACAGAGCTAGAGCTAGCACCTTGGTCTCTGACTACCAAACCGGTGCTCCTCTAGGAACACATAAAGACTACAAAAATACTGAGCACTCCCCAAACTCATGCCATCGGGGTTAGATCTGACCCCATCCAGGCCTGTGGCAGCTCTGAGACGCCCACAGCCCTCCTTCCAAGGTAGAGGGTTACGCTTTAAGTCACACAGATGTGAGCTCCAGTCCCAGCTCTGCTATGTAGGAGCTGTGGAACCTCACCTTTCTGAGCCTCAGGCTTCTCGCCTATAAAATAGAGCTAAAGAAGTTACCGAGACACTCAGGATGAGGACTGAGTTCCACCAGGAATGTAGGAGTGCCTTGTGGGTCGTAAGCACTCATCAATGTTTGCTTTAAGCACATGGATCACGTGTTGTGTTTCATTGTGTCTCACCCTTACAGTGCTCCAGATCCAAGGTGCTTCTGGTCAGTCTTTACGACAAGTGGATGGGTGGTCGAATAGATGGATGGATGGATGGATGGATGGATGGATGAATGAATGGGGATGGAGAGAGGGACGGAGGAAGGGAGGGATGGACAGAGGAATACTCAAGAAAACAGAGAAGAGAGGAGGGGGTCAGAATGGAAAGATGGGCTGAAGGACAGGGATTCATGTGTGGAATAGAGGCACAGCCATGGCCCTCCTAGCCCCTCCAGCTCTTCCATCACCTACCTTAGGGTAGCACTGGCACATGCTCCAGACGACGCCCCCGATCACCATGATGCCACCCATGGCATAGAAGGTACCGTAGACCTGGGGCCTGTCGTGGCTCATGAGAAACGTCCCCAGGGCCAACAGGAAAAGCCCCAGCACGATGAAGCCGATGCGGAAAGTCTTCTCATCAGCCATGGCTGCCCGGCAGGTCCTGGGCCTGTGCACCTCAGTGGAAGGGGTGCCAGCAAACTTGCGTAAACACCCACGCACGCTCACACCAGGAGGGGTGAAGCTCTGGGATTGTGGTGAATAGAGGTTTAAAGGGAGCGCAGGATCCCTTTCAGGTCCAGCTCTGGCCCCCGGACTCACTGGTTCAACAGAGCCGGAGGTGTCACGCTTCAGAGCACCCGTGCACCCACCTTCTCTCCTCACCCTCTCACCTTCCCTCTGGGCCCAGCTGGGAGTGTGTGTGTGTGTGAATCTGAGGGAGGCAGGGAGGGCGCAGAGGAGGCAGAGGGGGAGGTTACCAGGGCTGGGGCCCAGCCAAGGCTTTGACATCACCTCATTTGCCTAGTGTGGGGCGGAGCTGGGTAGACAAGTGGCCCAGACCTTCCAGCCATCAGAAGCAGAGTACAGTTGTGCAGCCAAAAGGCATTAGAATGCCACTGGAAGGTTCCAGGATCCCACAGGCTGGCATTCTAGAATCCTGAAGAATTCTAGATTCTTCAGGTCATGTGCCCATCTAGCATTCAGGCATAATAACCCAAATTTATTGAATGGATACTGCACAAATGACACCATTCTAAACATGTTACAGTACTGACTCATTTAAGGGGAACCCCATGAGGCAGGTACTACTACGCCCACTTTACAGATGAGAATACTGAGGCACAGGCAAGTAACTTGCCCAAGGTCTCACAGCTAGTAAATGACAGAGCTGGGATCTGAACCCAGACCATTGAGTTCCAGAGGCAGCCGTTATGCAAATACTGCCTGGCTGTAGCCGATTGCTGTCAAGTAGATTCCAAATCATAGTGACCCGATAGGACAGAGTAGAATTGTCCATAGGGTTTCCAAGGCTGTAAATCTTTACGGAAGCAGTTTGCCACATCTTTCTCCCACAGAGGGGCTGGTGGGTTTAAACTGCCGATCTTTCAGTTAGCAGTCGAGCGCTTAACCACTGCTCCTTAACCAGGGCTCCTTGCCACCTAACTGTAGCACCAGGGTTAAAAGTTTGGGCTGTAGCAGCAGACTGCTTGGAATTGGTCTGGGCTCCTCCACTGTGGGGCAGTGGGATCTTAGTCAAACGACATGCCTGCGCCTCTGTTTCCTCCTCTGTCCCCTTCTCATACCTTGTACTCCATCTACTCCTGCCTGCAATGAACTGCTCCTAGAAAGCTCTAGTGAGTTAATGCCCCTGCAGGATGTGAATGACTGACAGCGATTCTCATGCCTCCTAACCCAGGACTGTTGTTAGCTGCTGTACAGTCAGCCCCCAGCTCCTGGTGACCCCATGCCCAATGGCTTGAAATGCTGTCCTGTCCTGTGCCACCTCCTTGATCGGACCTTTGTGATCCATAGGGCTTTCATTGGCTAATTTAATCAGTCTTAGTCTGCAAGCTCCTCTGAAACGTGTTTAGCATCACAGCAACACGCAAGCCTCCACAAACAGACAGTTGTGGCTGTGCATGAGGTGTATTAGTCAGAAATAGAACTGAGTCTCCCACATGGAAGGCGAGAATTCTACCACTGAACCACCATCTTGGGTGGAATTACTAATGGTGGACTTTCAGTCCTGGGGAAAGGCTGATGGGAAAATGAGGAAAATGAGAACCACCAGTATCTCTGAAAGAAAACATTAACATGTAGTTTTTACAGGGCTAAACTGCTGATGCAGGATAAAAAGCTTTCCTTCGGCTTCCTGACTTGCTAGGTTTGGGGATTTTCCTGCTTGTGGTCATCACCTCTACCTCCTCCCCAGCACAGCTGTGTTTTTTTTTTCCTGACACCACACCGATGCTCCTTACTCTCTGCCTGGTGTTTTTTTCCCACAAACACTTTTTTCCAGCAGAGGTTTCGCCTTCACTCACTCCCACCATCACTCGCCCTCAGACCCATCTGGGCTGCACTTTACAGTTTGCCAGGGCAGACAGGGACTGAGGGTCACCAGGTTCACGTCCACGTCTGATTCCTGGTGAACTTGGGCAGGTGGCTCCCACTCTGGGCTAATGAGTCAATATCCCTGCAAGGTGCGAACGACCACAGCCTTTCCCTTGCCTTCTAACCTAGGATTGTTGTTGTTGTCATCTGTGGAATGGGGATGGTATTAGGCTCAGAGAAGAGAAGCGACAAGTACGGGTTCATCTAGCTGGTGCCCCTCTATGAAGAGGAGGCGAAGTCCAAAGGAGTCTTGTCTTCCCCAACCTGGACGGCGCGCGGAGACTCCCGGACGGGCGGCGGGAACGGATCTAAGCAGTCGCGCTCCAGCCTGGGTCCTCTCGCGCCCCCTGATGGCCATAGCAGTAAGAGACGCCCGCGCACCCTCTCTGCAAGACTAGCACTCTTTGGGTCATGCCTCCGCTGCGGAGCCCCGCGAGGAGTGCAGGATGGGGATTATCATCCTCATTTCACAGAAGAGGAAACTGAGCCAGGGGAGTGTCAGGGACTGGCCAAGATCTTCCCAAACTGAGTTGGCGGGTGATAGGGGACCGGGACCCAGGCAACCCCAGCCCCAGTGTGGACGGCTCTGGTCCTTAGCCCTTCCGGAGAGGCTTTCGTCCACTCTCTTCCTCCCCCACCTTTTCTTTCCTCCGCACGACCCAGCCTCCTTTGCCTCTTTGCTGTCTGAGTTGTTTCTCCTCTAAAAAGCGGGAGTGACAACGAACGAATAAGACTTCTACTGGGACAGTGCCCGTTGCTGTTGGGCCGATTCCGACTCATAACTACCCTATAGGACAGAGTAGAACTGCCCAATAGGGTTTCCAAGGAGCGGCTGGTGGATTCGAGCTGCCAACCTTTTGGTTAGCAGCCCAGTAGGTACTCAATAAAATGGGTGGAATCTAACTCTTCCACAGAGTCGTGGTGAGGATTGAATGGGGAAACTTATGTGCGGTGCCTCCGAGACGTTCAGTTTTCGGTGGCTCCGCTCCCTAAACTCCCTTATCCCCACCCGCTCCCCACTCTCTCTTTTACTTTCCTCCGTGCAAAATGCGGAAGGCTTGGGAGAAGGGCAACAATGTTGAGGAATCTGCCATCGTCCAGCAGAGGGCGCGCTACCCACTGTTTTCCTCCTGTCGGAAGGAACTCAGGATCTTCCTAGTGAACCCATCCTCACAAGAGAGCAGAGACAGGGAGGGGAAATATCACAGCCATTTGACACATGCAGAAACTGAGGCTCATGGAAGCAAGGTGGGCAGGCCAAGGTCGCAGAACCTGTAACTGGCAGAGCCAGGATTCAAACCAGGTCTTCAGCCAGTCTGCTATGTGGAGACACTCTGAGATGTCAGGAACACTGCCGAACATGGGGCCTCAGAGACTGAAGGCACTCGGTCCTAACTTCTGGGACAATATGGCCAGTGCTCTAAGATTCACACGAGGCCCAGCATGTGCACAAAGCAGAGAGAAGGGTAGACTGAAGGGACAGAGTCACAGAAGGGATCCTTGAGAAGCAAATTGAAGTTCTCCTGACAGTAGGAAAAGCACCCCAGGCAAAGGGATCAGCATGTGCAAAGGCACAGAGACAAGAAAGCACCGGCACAAGGCTAGAGATAAAACACTAAATGCTACGCACACACTCACTCTGCACTGCATGCTCCTCCCCCTTCTCCCCAGCCCTGCTCCTCTCGTATCAACAAGTGCCATCCTTCCAGTTAGTTATCTAGGCCACCATCCTCACTTCCTCTCTCACATCCACATCCTGTTGTGTCTACCCCCAAGCTACAAGTATCCAATCACTTCTCACATTATTGCTCACCGATCTTGTCCGAGCCCCCATCACCTCTCTCCCCCTAACTGGTCTCTCTGCTTCCACCCTTGCCCCTTCCCTACAAAAAAGCTAAGTCAGGTAATACCACTTCCTCTGCTTAGAACCCTGGAATCGTTCTCTGTCTTATCAGAGTAAAAGCTAAAGGACTTAAAATGGCCTACCAGACCCTAGATTATTTGTCCATGACGCCCTGTTACCCCTCTTAGCTTATCTCCTACCATGTTCCCCCTCACTCACTCCACTCCAGCTACCCTGACTGCTTGAACACACAGGCACCGCAGGGCCTTTGCACCTGCTGTTCCTTCTGCCTGAAATGCTCTTCTTCCAGATATCTGCCTGGGTTCCTCCCTTACCTCTTTCAAGTCCTTACCCAGATGCCACCCTCTCAGTGAGGCCTTCCCTGAGAGTGCTATCTAAAACTGCAGAACCCTTTCCCCCAGGCATTCCCCATCCTCCTTTCCTGATTTGCTTTTCTTCGTATTACTCATGACCATCTAACAGACTATATACTATTTATCCTGTCTCTTGTCTGTCTCCCCCAACTAGTAGCCAAGCTCCTACAGTGAGGACTTTGTTTTGCTCACTGCTGTATCCTCAGGGGCTAGAACAGGGTAGGTTCTCAATATATATTTACAAATGGCTCAACTCCATTGCCTTCAAGTTAATCCCAACTCACAGCGACCCCATGTGTTACAAAGTAGAACTGTTCCGTAGGGTTTCTTTGGTTGTGATCTTTACAGAAGCAGCTCACCAGGCCTTTCTTCCGTGGTGCCGCTGGGTGCATTCAAATTGCTAACCCTTAGGTTAGTAGTTTGAGTGCAAACTGTTTGTGCCACCCAGAGACCTATATTTGTGAACAGAGCGGTGGAGTATAAGATCCAGGGGAGAGTGAGGCCAGAGAGGGAAGCCCAGGCAGGAAAGCTCCTGGGGGCATGCTAAGACACCCAACATTTTCCAGAGGGATTACATAGGAGGGTGACCCAGATCTTAATTTCAGAAAGATCCTCTGGTTCCAAGAGCAGGTTGGAGGAGGCAACAGGAGGTACTGGGAGTGAGGAGCAGTTGCCAGCCTCTAGCAGAAGCCTGGATAGAGGAAGATTAAAGCAAGCAGCAGTTTCTAGGAGCCGCTGATTGCTGCAGTGTGTTGATTTGAGGTGCAGGGCCACCAGCTGGAGAACTGCAGGGAGCGGGGCCACCAGCAAAACCAAGGAGGGT